TGCCGAAGTGGTGGGCGCACAATAAACAAATAATCGCGTCGCCGATTTTACTACACGTATATAAATGTTCCCACTCGATTTGATATTTGTCGGACCGCGTGTCTTGTGCTGGAGACTCGAGATTGGCAAAAGTGTATGACGTGCAATCATGATTATTTTTCGGTATTTCATCAAAACCCGTGACCGCGGTGGCTTTCAAAGACCGGATCTCATTCTGGCGCGCTAATGAATGTAATGGAAAATTTTTGTCATACCCGGCGTGTTGTCCGAAATAGTGCCTTTTGATATTTGAAGTTTTTAAGCAACGGAACTGCTGCGAACACAATAAACAAATGGCTATCTCACCAAATTTTGAGCACATGTACAGGTGCTCCCACTCGGCTTTAAAATTATCAAGACGTAGCTCCTTCGCGGAGGGTTCCATGTTTTAGCAATAAAAAATTAAATTTTAAACTTTAAACCACACAAGTTTAATTCACAAACTTCACTTTCACAAGTTGAGCGCAAGTCGTGCAACTTCAGCAACAAGTAGATTGTTCTTCGCTTGCTCAGAACAAACTGATCACAAATTTTTAAAATTTAAGTTCCAATGCAAAAGAGCCTTCGCTCCCACAACTCCCTCTTCCCAAATAACAATTTTTATTGCTAAACTAATTACGCCATTGGCTGCAGGAGCCCCGGGGGGAGGGGAGATCGAATCACGATCAGTAAGGGTAGATTAGGTACCCCATTCCTACCTGACCTCACCGCACCCACCCCCTAGCACTCTTATGATGCAGGTATGCACGTGCCAAGTTCTAATTGAAATTCGTTCCAATTTGACATTGTTCGGGTGCATTTTTATTAGCCCAATTCTAATATTTGGATTTCCAAGAAAGCCACTTTCAATATATTAGAGTCCATCATTAAATAAGTCCAATTTCAACATTTAGTTTTTCAGGAAATCCACCTTTAGTATATGACAGTGCATCATAAAAACCGCTTTTTCCATTGAGCATTACCATTCATCGAAAATCTCGGGCATATTTGTCATTTATTATGGGCTATCTCAGTTCTGTGCATTGCTAGTTTTTTCTCAGAATTCTTATTTTTATATCTCTTTATTCTTATTCATTTCCTCAGCAAGGACTATCACAACCATTGCTCATAATGTAATAATTAAATCGTAAAATAATTCGTGAACAAATAATGGTATAAGACTTACACCACTATTCATCCACGAATTGTTTGCTTCATATTATTGGGTACAGTTACCGCTCCAGCTCAGGAATGGACAACTATTTTATTTTATTTGTTTCATTGCTGCAAATATCGTCTGGAGACAAAATAATTGTCACGGCAGATTCCTCATCATGAAAACAAAAAAAAAAATTTTCCTCATATTGCTGCCTATTTCGAATAAAAAAAATTATATTTATAATGCAAATTGATGGAAAATCAAAATTTCCGCTCGATCGCACGGTGGCCCTCTGCCGGTATCGGTCGAACCAGAGCTCAAGCAGAGAGAGATATCGAATTAGAGCAGGTAGTTTTGTTAAGTGGATGAGGCCCCTCTCCCAGCTCTGACTAACGAAGGTCGGGAGCCGCGTGAGCCTAATGAGCCCAGGTTGCCGGGCCCTGAGATAGACCACGGCTGACATCGCGACCTGCGATGCATCGGAAAAACCGTGTACTTCAACGACGGAATCGGTGAACAGTCCGAGCCACCTGGGTATGGTGACCTCAAACAACTGGGTGAGTTTATCCCTGAATCGCCGCCAGCGTTGCGCAGTTGTTGGGGAAACTGGTTCGTCCCATCCCAGCTTCTCGATCCATAGAGCCTGGAGCAATATCTTGGCTCGTACAACCACTGGTGCTAGAAAGCCCAGTGGATCGAAGAGTTGAGCCGTTTCCGATAAAATGATTCTCTTCGTTATTGAGCTGGTCTCAGGCTGAGCGACGGAAAGCTTGAAATTGTCCGTTCCAGGATGCCAAGAAACCCCGAGAATCTTGGTGAGTGAGTTCTCTATGTCGTTGTTCTTGAGAGGTGCTGTCAGGTTGAAGATATGTGAGTACAGCTGGGCTATTTGAGTGCCATTTGGCTAGCGGAAAGCCTCCTGACAGGCAGAGCTGTGTCAGCTGGTGAGCAGTCCTGAGTAGCTCTTTATCTGAGGCAGCACCCCCGCAGATATCGTCAACATATCGTCCTTTCATGAGCGGTTCCACAGCAAGAGGATAGTTTGGTCCTTCATCCTCAACGAGCTGATGAAGAACACGTATTGCGAGAAACGGAGCTGATCTGGCGCCATAAGTGACCGTGGTGAGCTGATATGTGACGATATCTCCGTTTGAGTCGGTCCAGAGTATTTGTTGGAGTGGCCAATCCCCCGGATGTACTCGAATTTGACGAAACATCTTAGTTATGTCCGTCATGAAAATGAGCCGATTCCACCGAGAAAAGAGAAGTACATTCGAGATATCCTTCTGCAACTTCTCCCCCGTGTGCATGATTTCGTTCAACGATTTTGCTGAGCTGATCTTCTTGGAGCCGTTGAAGACAACTCTGAGCTTCGTCGTCTCACTACTCGCCCTCAGAACTCCGTGATGAGGGAAGAAATATTCTGGTAAAGCGTCAGTCCGAGAAGAACACGGACGGTCCGAGACTCTCAACCCTCCTGAAGCCGAGGCTTCATGTGCTAAGGTCATCTCGGTGTCCGTGCCCCTCACCTTGAACTGGCGCTGATGAGCTGATCTAGTGAGCTGTCCAGAGACTCGACGCATGTGGCCGAGCTTTTCGTATTCCCTGAGAAAGTCCGTGTAATGCTGACGATACACCTCATCACGTGAGAGTTTCCTGAGCAGACGATGGAGGCAAGCGAGTGCAGACCGTGAATCCCCGAGCAAGGAAGCTGAGGATTTGAGCGGTATCCGAACGATGTAGCGGCCCGAGGAATCTCGTGAGTAGGGCCGTTGAAAGTGTCTTCACACTGAGACCGACGAGATGAGCCTGAGACCCCCCGCTGATCGATGAGCTGATTCAAAATTGCCCGCGCCTCGTGATAATGACCGATGGTGAGGTCAAAACATTTTCCCATGGAATAGGGCAATTCGAGGCCCCTCGATCTTGCCGCTACTACCAATGAGCGTCTCATGAGTGCTTTCAAACTTTTCCCAATATGTCTCCAGGATCTCCAGTTTACCTTGGAGATTGGAGATTGTTAAAGTTTTCGCGTCTTCGGTGAGCAGCTCCTTATGAATGCGCTCAATGAACGCCGCCCGCGATTGGTTCAGGCTAATAGTCGCCTCAAATGATGCCATAATTGAGAATATATGAGCAGCTCAAAAAAAAGTAGTAATGATAGACTAAGACGATCACAAAGTCGATCAGTGAGACTACGAAGCGAAAGCAAGAGCAAAAAAGCGAGAAACGTGATAGCTTGATAAGCTATGCGTGTGAGCGGTTCCGTAGAGCAGTCCGAAGAATTTCGCAAAACAGCAAAATATTATAATTATAAAAAATTATAATTATATTATTATGCAAGAAAAGCGTTGCAGTGAGCGGTTCGAAAAGAGCCAAAGTTCGGAATCCAAAATAATTAAGACCACTTAGCTTGCAGGAGATTATATTGAGGTCCTGGAGCGGATCTGCGGTGTGGTTAGTACGGCCCTGATAAATGAGCGGGGCCCTCGGTTCTCTAGGGCAGGGCCCGGCAACCTTCAGGTAGTCGGGCGCCAGCCTATTACTAGGGTCGGAATAATCCTCTCATCCTAATGGGTACCCAATTAGCCAACCATTGTGTGCGAGTAAGTCCCAGTGGTGACGATATTTTCGTCAGCCACGTAGAGTGGCGTGCGAGTCGAATAAAAATGGCCGACTCACCAGAATTCGCGTTAAATTTCAGTTTCAAATTTTAAATATAAAATTGAAAAAGTAAAATTTAGGAAAACCTTGGAGAATATATTTCCGAAATGGTAGTCGGCAATTATTATTTCTCCGTTGAATCGTACCTTTTAATCTTTAACTTCGATGGAAGGATAGCATCTGGGATTATGAATTTGACGAACATTATTAGAAATTTGAAATACATACATTTGAATATATTTTTAATTAATTGTCTACTCTTGGCCAACATTATGGAATGTTGCTCAATGGAAACCGCGGGAAGGTGGTAGACGTATTCCATCATGGGTAATGGAAAGGAACAAAAGGTGCAGGAAATAGGAAAATATTTAATCCTAAAAAATCTTATTACTAATATATTTACAATAGTTTCATAGCAACAATCGTACGAATGCCAGATTCTTGGAGAATCTCACATTAATCCGATGCTGCAAAGAGTTGTCAAATTATATTAAATATGTAATTGTCAATATCTAGCGACATGGTTATAATGAAAAGGGTAAATGATTCAATTTTAATGCGAGCGTTGAATTTGCATAGATTCCACGATTTTTTCTAAATGAGGTTTATAATTACTGAGACTCACAAGCATGGCTTCTTTGAGGTTCTCATCTCCTAATGCCGACCTACCGGAGGTTTTAATGCGATTCATGTGAGAAAAACCTGATTCGCAAAGATATGTTGTCCCGAACATCACACGCATCCGTTTGTACGATTCTGCGAGAATTGGAAAATGATTACCTTCGATTATTATCTTCCACAAATCGTCTGAACTGCACGAAGGTAAATCGAATGTGATAAATTTTTCCATTTCACCGGAGAGTTGTACACCGTTTACGCGTGTAAAATTAACTATTGTAGACTCGAGGCGTTCAAGATCATACATAAAAGCTTTAGGAGCCTGGAAAAATTGACACAAGTACTGTAAATCATCTATGTTGGGAAATCGCTGATTTAAATTGTTGTATAATTGTTGCGTCAATTCTGCGAAAGGCTGGCCATTGAATGCTGTGTTGCTGGATCCCTTTACTACTGATTCTAACGCAGTAAACATAGACGGAACTAGATTTTTGGAAAAATTAGATTGGATTCTTTTGATTAATGTTCTCAACGCGGTCACTGCCTGCACGTAAT